GCCCAATAGTCCTTCGGTAGATTTGCGTGTTCCAGCATACAACGCGCACATTCATGCGCTCCGCCAAACCCTTTAGTTGAGGAGTGTAAGCAGGTGAAATCTCTGCAGGATCCCATGTGTCTTGCAGTACTGCTCAAAGCTCGAGTTTTGGTACTCCTTGCCGTTGTCGCTTAGTAATCGCTTGATATTTGGCTTGAATTGGGTCTTGACCATGGCATGAAACTCTGCAAACTTCGCAAAGACTTCGGACTTGTGATGCAATAATTAAACCCAGCAAAAAGTGGTTTTGCTGCAGATAAAAGTCAAGAAATAAGGGTTCCCACCAAGGCTTGAAGTTTGCATCGGACCACAAACGTCGGTACAGATTTCTTCGGAATACTTGCTCGATTCTTCGACTTGGCGTTGAACTTTGAAACGCGCTTGCTTGCCGAGAGCACACGAGTCACAAAATCCCCAATCTTCGACAACCTTCAGCGGAATGTCACTTGTCATATCATGCTTCACCAGATGTTGAAGTCCTTGATGTCCAATATGCCCAAGGTGATCATGCCAAAGTCTCGACAGGCTGGTCTTTGCTTGAGCGACGTTCGCCATCGATTCGCCTTCAAGCACTGGGTGCATCTTCAACTTGTACTGGCTTCTTCCGTGCTTCACCATGACGAAAACGTTCTTTTCGAATGATAACTTCGTGCCTTTATTCGCAAATTGGCTGACCGAGAACAGGTTTCGACTAAGCTGTGGGATATACCACACGTTCTTCAGGATGCCTCGCTTCGGGTTGTGCGAGGTATTCAATTGATATCACCTTGACCAACAGCCTCAATTGTTTCGTCATCTGCTAGGAGGACTTTGATGCACTTCATCGGCGCATACTTCGTAAAATACTTGATTGACTTCGTCATGTGGTTTGTCGCACCAGAATCGATAATCCACTCTGTCTTCAGGCTTGTCTTCGTGTGCCATGAAGAGGTATGCGCTGTCTTCCTTGGCAACTGCCGCAACATTGGATGTAATTTCACCGCGTCGTACACGCTTGCTTGCCCAGTGACCAAACTCGCCACAAATCTTGCTTGGATACTCTTTCAGCTTCTCTTGTTTCGTCAGGAACGCTGTCCTCTTGCTTTCGCTGCCTTGTTCCGTGCGCTTCGTTTCTTCATGTAGAAGCCGCGATGTCACAAACACCCCGTTACGGGACTCCAAAGCAGTGATGAGAACATCGTAGGACTCGGGCGGGCACAAGAGGGTGATGACAAGGTCTTCTTCGGTAACTGGCGCTCCCACGGCTTTGAGCTGCTGGGAGCTGCTGGGACAGAGTCTTTATGAGAAGTACTCAGCTAGGACTAGCTAGGTTATGTGCATTGAATGCATGCTTTCTCGTGTTGTGTTGCTTGGGAACTAGCAAATATATCGTCGATCCCAATATTTTGGGAACTTGACATATATATTGTGCATCCCAATAACACATGACTTTGTCGGTGATCGAACCCTGTACCATGCGCTACATGACTTGCCACGTACATCGATCAGAGTGAAAGCTTGATAGGGAAGTAACGGAAATTGGTTATCTTGCCAGAAACGGTATACTGTTATCTTGCCAGGAACAGCACGCAGTTGTCTTGCCCGTAACGCTGCAGCCCTTGACAGAACGAAGAATAGAAACTTTGGGCAGCCAGATCGAAAATTGACATCACAATTGATTTTTCCATCAACCACTCAAGTGTTTCCTCGACCTTTTCCTCTTGTAGTCTCAAAGGTTATGAGCCCAACTACCAACGACAACATCAAGGCCGAACCCATCGTCTTCCGCGGCGCCAACTTCAACATCTTCAAGGTGCGCATCCAAGCCAAGCTGCGCAGCAAGAACCTATGGACGATTGTCAACGGCGACGAGAAGCGTACTGACGACAACGCCGCCGAATTCGACCCCAAGGAAGGCAAGGCGTTTGATTTGCTCGTGAATTCGCTCGACGACGACAACCTAGCGTATGCCGACGTGTCGCATGTCATCCACGAGCTCCATACCAAGGTGTACGTGACGGAGATGCGCGGCCTGCAACAGAAGCTGCTGCTCATGGGACGCGTGTCGACGACGAGATGCTGGGACGCGTGCTGCTGACAAGTTGCAAGGAAGCGTATCCAACGACGGTGGAGATCCTGCGTAGCCGTGAGCCTGCCCCGACGTTGAAGCAAATCACCGATCGTCTCCTGGCCAAGGAAAGTGAAGCGCGACGTGTCGTGGCTGTCAAGCGCAAGGTGGAAGACGATCAAGTCATGTACACGTCCAAGGAAGGTGCTGCCAAACCATGGAAGAAGTATGCCAAGGACAAGTGTCTGTATTGCCACAAAATCGGTCATCATGTAGTGGACTGTCGATTCAAGAAGCGCGATGTGGCCAAGGGTATCCAGCGCAAGTGTCTTCCGCTGCCTGAAGAACATCAAGTCAACATT